GGAGTCTGCTAGTCCAGGGACCGAGTTTTGGGAATCACTGAGGGAGGGTAGCTTGCCCAGAGCTCTGAGGTCAAGTCTGGAGGAAGCCCTGTGGTGTTCGGTCCAGGGCCCAGTCTCCAGTACTCGCAGGCCGAGGGTTCTGGCCACTCAGGGCGGGCGTCTGTGTTCAGGCATGCTGCCTCTCTTCCTCTGTCTCCACAGGATAGGAGCCTTCAGCCTGAATTCCAGGACAGGCAAGCCCATGCCAGCTGTGTCCAACGGGTAGGTCACTGAAGATCTCGGGGCCCGGAATGCTCAGACATTCAGCCAGGGGCCCTCACTCTCTGCTCTCAGTTCCTGCTCTCCCTGTTGTGAAGCCAGTCCCCATCCTGGGACCATGAGGGGACCCCACGCTGCATTTGGCCCCTGCTCCAGGCAGACTAGAGGTCACACATGCCCAGGGGCTCCAGGGAGGGTCTTCTGGTAGGCGCTATTTCCAGGACTCTGCAGGGCTGACCATCCCTCCACCCCTTTCTCCCTCCCTTCTCTCTCTTCCCCTCCTTTATCTTGACTGCCCATTGCTTTCTTTGCTGCCTGTGAACTTTCTCCAAGTAGCTTCCCAAGTCCCCGTTTTTTTTTTCTCACGCACGCACACATGCACACTCACAGCTGTGGTGGGCCACCCTTGCGGCTCAAGCTCCCCACCTGGACCATCTGCCCTTGGCCTCATGCAAACGTGGACAGTGCCACCTTCCTCTCCTGCTCACCCCCAGGTGGAGGGGTGGAGACCCCTCCAGTCTCTCCCTCACCCTGAGCCCTTGTGGCAGGGCAGGGACATTTGTTCAAGGCCCAGCCAGATGCCCCTGGCAGGTGGACATTTTGGCCGAGTAAGCAGAGCTCTGCTGGCCGGTGCTGGCAGCAACTAGGACCTGGAGTCCCAGTAGCCCGGTTGACCACGTACTACCTGGATGTGGGAGAGGAGCCTCCAGAGGACCCAGGGGTGCTCCAGCCCAGGAAGGGTGTAGGGTGCTAATTCACAAGGAGTAAATAAGAGGCCCTTGGAGAGGGAGCAGGAGTTGGGGGGAGAAACAGACAGGCCGAGAGGAAGACCGACCTGAGGGGAAGGGGGGG